AGCAATCAATGGATGATTATGATTAAAAATATTCTTACGTACGTTCACTGCATATTCGTAATTATTCAGAGCACAATCATAGTTACCTATATCATAATAAATGTCACCTAATAACGATGGAATATCACCAAATGCTCGATGTGTTTTGGGTACACATTCTTGATTCATACACAATGCTTTTAATGCATATTCCAATGCTTCTTCGTAATTACCTAAACAATGATTAACACTGCTTATCGAGTAGAAACTAACAGCAATTAATGGATGAACAGACGGAAAATTTTTCTTAGTTTGTTCAAGTGCTTGTCGATGGTATTTTAATGAAGTATTGTATTCGCCTTTTTTCTCGTAGACCCATGCAATACCACGTAATGTTGATGGTATTATTTGATGATATTTGTCTTTAAATAGTATTTGTTCTATATGAAGTGCATCTTGAAAATGTGTCACTGCTAAGCTATATTCACCTTTTTCGACATTGATACAACCCAAATAAAATAAATTATATGCACGATTTATATTTATAGTTAGTTTTAATATATCTATTTGTATATGCTTTGCTAATTCATAATAATGAAGTGCTTCATCAAGATTTCCACTGAAGTGCAATGTTCGACCCAAATACTGATAACAAATTGATCGCATTTCATGATCATTCTGTGATAATGTATTTAACATTTTCCGAAAATATGTTTCTGCTCTCGAATAATCGGCAATATCAATAAGTATGCGTCCAAATAATAGACTAGCATCGGTTTCTTCTAATTTCTTTTCTTGTAATTTTATATATTGTTCAATGTAACCCTTACCATCATCACTTGCACTTAAATGGACTGACCAGAGATTTAATTCATTGTCATAAGAAATATTATTTATTTGAAATACAGCTCCAATGTGAAATAAAACTTCTTTTTCATCTGGAATTCTACTGTAATTTGTAATGTCAGCATAAATAATACTGTTTAAATTATTCTCAATTTCAATTTGAAATAAAACACCTATTTTATTATGACAATTATGAGTAAACATTCGTGCAACATTGATATCAGTTGTTGTAGAAAAGAAACTGTTTGTTGATATCAAATTTCCTATACTAGTCTTTAATTTTTCTAGTTCATCATAACACATGAACTGTCCACGATAGACGATTAATTTTTTTTGATCGTGTTTCAATTGTCTTTGTTGCTTATAAATGCTTGATAATTGTGTACAAAGATCAATGATAAAAAATCTATATGTATATAATTCATCAATATTTTCACTCCTTAATGCACGATTAATGGACAGATATAAGAAACTTTCACTCGTATACCAAAATATAGCCTCATCACTACTTTTATACTCGCGTTGAAAATTTTGAATTTTTTCTAACTGTACTAAATTATCTTTATAATATCTTCGGCATTCATTTAACATCTCGTTTTTAGCTGATTCTGTATTTGTTGGCATACGTTTCAATATACTGACTAGTAGTTGAAACCATAAAAATGATGCCGAATCTTTTGTTATATAACGAACTGTATTTTGTTCTTGATTATGTTTGTCTTCTTCATCAATAGATAAATACATTAATTTAATTTGTTGTCGACTAAATAAACGTATAGTTTTTCTGATATCGCTTTTGAATTGTTGTTCATCATGAATTATTTTACTATAGTCTAATCGGATTATAAATATATTGATATTCTCATTTAAATTATCCAATGATATTCGGTCACTATCATCGATAAATAATAATAATTGTTGTTGTTCCTTTATATCTTGTACATATTCATAAAATAACTTCGGATTATTAAACACATTGATGCTTGATTCATTTACCTGTTCCAGTAAATATTTGGTATATTCTGTTGATCTCGTCTTTTGAAGGTCATAACTATGGCCATTACTCAATAAAATTAGTATTGGATTTTTATGATGTAGTTCTTTTGAGCTACAAAATTGATCAACCATTTTTGTACAACACCAACTACGGTATATCAATCTAACAGAAAAGGAAGAAGTTACTTAGAGTAGTCAAAAAGTTCTTGCACTTCGCTATATCTATTCAGAGAAACGATATTTCATCCGTCTCTCGACATCATATATTCGAGGTAGTTGTTGTGATAGTCTATGGGAAATTTCATCCTTTTAACTCACTCTTGAGATATCCTTTCGAAGTAAATAATAGGTGTTGAATTGATCTCCTTGGTTATCATCTCTGCTAAATTGTTGTAGCTGGTGATTATCTAGTCTATCTTGAATACATTTCAACAACTAAGAATCTGGAAGCCTAGTCTGAGGTAGGTACACTTGATGAGCCTTCACTTCATTCCTTTCACTTCGAAGTACCTAATGACGTTACTTTACATGTTGCTCAAAAAACATGATAAAAACTAATAGGACTAGGCCATGACGATACCTTATTTGTTCGATAAATTTTTTATTTGTGGATTTAAATATTTATCGCTAATATTGATAGTATTACTAGCTACTATAAAAAGCACTATACGATAAACAATGGTCCGAATGTCATAAAAAAGTTGACATATATTAATATTTTGGATATCGTTAACAAAAACTATCGCTTGGAGGGCTAGTTTCTTTTGTTGACCTAAGTTGGGTGTGGGTGTGTGTGGGCGTGTGTAGGTGTGAGTGTGGGTGGGTGTGGGTATGTGGAGTGTAGATGTGGGTGGGCGTGGGTGTTGGTGGGTGTGAATATAGGTGTGTAGACGTTGGATGTTGGTGTGAGTCTGTGATTAAGGGTGTAGTCGCGGGTCCGGGTATGGACCTGGTGTAACGGAAAATACTTCTAATCGATGAATATAAGTCTTGAGAGGAGAAATGGTGTAAAACGTTCGGGCAGCAGCGAAATGTAATGGTTTATTGAATAATAATAATAAGAAAAAGTAACAATAAATGTATTGAGTATACACAGCAAAAATACACACTAGATTCTGATCGTATACATATAACTTCTTTATATGTGCTTCAGGTTCAGACTCTATTCCGTTTTCGAGTCTCAATTCAGAATAACCTCTAAGAACGTACGTTTCAATAGTTTCGAATATGTCTTACTTTAACTGGATACAACTATCAACTGCCTATATCAGAATATCTGATAGGGAAAAAAGAAAAAGAGGAGAGAGAGAGAAAGAGAAAGAGAGAGAGAGAGAGAGAGAGAGAACGAGAGAGAGAGAGGGAGAGAACGAGAGAGAGAGAGAACGAGAGAGAACGAGAGAGAAATACGGAGAAAAATCCAAGGAGAAAGAATGTATATCGAGAGGAAAGGAAACAGGAAGTAGGGGAGAAAAGATCACGTATTACTGAAATGGATAAAAGGAGTGTCGTTCGAAAGGATGTCCGTCTATTTTCTTGGCACACCCGGGTAGTGGATGTGGGTGTGATTATGGGTGTGAGTGAAGATATGCGCGCTGCGTCTCGGTATGGGTATTGGTGGTGGGTGTAGCTCTGTGTGTGGGTATGGGTCCTAGTCACGGGTATGGGTGTTGATGTGAATGTCAATTTCTATTTCAGATTCAATCGCACCCACGTCAACCCACATCCACACCCAAAAAAGAACCTGTGATGAATATCCTAGGTGCACTGTCATACCAGATTAAAAAAATATTTGTATCTATTTTGTCATATGTCATGAATTGAGAGATTCACGTTCAAAGAACAGAGCGCTTTTCAATCCTGCGACGACTAATTTTTCAGAAAATTATGAATGTTTACTTCGGAGTTGTTTGAGAATACAATTGTCGTGTGTTTCTTATTTTTTTTTACTGTAGCCGTCGATGAGTAAATGGTTGATACGTATTTATACTTGTATCAAGTCACCTGGAGTTTTCTCACATCAATAAGAACTACTTGTTTTTTGGCACGAGAGAGTATTACTGTTTTTTTTAGGCATCTTACAAGAGCACACGTCTTGTTAATACAGTGTGTTTACGTGTAAACCTGAAGGCTGTTTGATCAAAAGGAGCTGATAGATTAAGAAGAGCAATTATGTCAAAGTTGAAAAAATATGCAATCATCGTGTATCGATCTTATTGATTTACTTTAGGTTTATGTGTAGAATGGAAGGCATAGATTGTGATAAAGTACAGAAAGAAAGAACGAAATGAAAACGGTGTCGTACAGGACTGCATACCGACAAATAAAGACCAATAATGGTGCATGCCAATGAATAGTAATTTTTGTACACTCATATATGTAAAATACTTTTCGTGAATAAATAACCACCGACAAAAGACGACGGAGGGTTTGACGGAATCGCGATCTGATTTCAACTAAGGTATATTTTCAGTCAAAGTTTACAGTATGAGTGTAGGTGAGAGAGAATATTAGACCCACACCCACACCCACATCCTAAACCAAAAAATGAAGGATAAAACGGTTTTGAGAGACTTGTGGCTGGTTGGAGTGAAGACAGATTTACATCGATTCATCTGCAGACAATCGAACTAAGTATGTCTGAGAGCAGTTTATATACAACTCCAAACCAAACATTCCACCTGATCAATCTCGAACAAAAAAACAACGATCCTGTTTCAGATTTTTAAATGTATTTCTCACAATTTTTCTTAAACTATCGTAAGTAACAAATAATTTTCGGATCTTGAAAGGGTAGGTGTCAGTGTGAGGGGGGAAATATCTTAATGCCAATTCCTGTTTTCGCCAATTGTATTTTTTGCCAATTGGCGAATATCAACTAGTAATTCGCCAATTGGCGAATTTCCCCACGACATTCGCCAATTGGCCAAACAGTAAATCAAATTTATTTTTTTTATTGGCAAATGCCATACTAGTAATTCGCCAATTGGCTAACATACCGTTGGCCAACTTCACAATTGACAAAATTATAGAGACCCTCGGACATGTGCCATACATTACATGCAGATACATAAAAATCGAACTGGAGCACAACGCCCTCTGTGGTCATTTTTTACATTAAAAATAGTCCGCACTTGACCATACGCGATTGGTCACTATACAGTGCTGGACAAAAGTTCTGGGACAAACTTTTCCCTTTTATAACTTTCGGTTATGAATCTATCATGAGTCAATGGTGGTGTGCTTTGATAGATCTAACAGAGGCCTTTCATATACTATTATAGCATTATGAATTGGAAGCTTCTGTAGAAAGTTATATAAGTTTAAATGTTAGTCCATTGGCCAAAAGTTCTGGGACACTGCAGGGCTAATCCATTGGATACTGGACATTGTATATAAAAAATGATCAAAGAAAGCTGAAAATTTCAGCATTTATAGTTCTTACGAAGACAATATTATTCATAAAAAACAAAATTTCGAAAGATCAATTAGCATCATAGTTTTCCGAGACTAACAAAAATTGTACTGCTAGAGACTTGAGGTCCCCATCAATCTCGGTCCTGGTACATGGAACTTTCACGAAACTTTCAGGGGTGTGGGTGTGGGTGTCAGGGTGTTTTGAAGAAAAATACCCACACCCCACACCCACACTCACACGCACACATACACCCACACCCTCACACCCACACCCACATCCCCACACCCACACCCACACCCCACACCCACATCCACACCCTAGTTCATTTCTTACTTGAAATAAAAGAAGTTTAAAATAAAGTTTAAGTTAACAAAATGTATCTTGACAGATAACATAACTATCAAAGTATATTTTAGCCCGTAAACTTGGTCGAGTCATAATTCCATTGATGCCAATTGGCGAATTTCGTGAGGAAATTCGCCAGTTGGCGAACAGGAAGTTAAATTTATTTTTGCCAATTGGCGAATATCAACTAGTAATTCGCCAATTGGCGAATTTCGTGGGGAAGTTCGCCAATGGCGAATATACCGTTGACCAACTTCACAATTGGCGAAATTACAGAGACTCGTGTGAGGTGTGGGAGTGAGTGTGGGTATGGGGTGTTGGTGTTGATATAGATGTGAGTGTGGGTGTTGAGGTAAGTGAAAGAAAGACTACACCCACACCCATACCCACATCTACATCCACACCCACACCCATACCCACATCGACATCCACAAC